GCCAAGGCTCAGTGGGTGAGAGATATGTTTGAAGCGGATGACGAGGAGGAGGATTTCGGCGACTTTGCTGGATTTCAAGATGACTGGAAAACTGAGGACTATCACCCACGTCGAAAAAGTGAGTATCGCCGCAAGCCAGGGGTAAAGATTAACCTGCCTGACAATGCAACGCCATTACAGGTATTTTCCAAGATTTTCACGGAGGACTTGTGGTTGCGACTTGTGACGGAGACAAACGTGTATGCAGAACAAAGCAGGAGTGACACTCCATCCAGCAGCAAATGGACACCGGTAACGGTGAGAGAAATGAAAACCTTCATTGGGCTGTGTATCACCATGGGCATACTTCAGCTGCCAGCCAGAAGAGACTATTGGCGGCAGAAAAAGTGGCTTTTTCAGACATGTGTACCCAAAGCCATGCCAAGGGACAGATTTGCAATGATCTGGAGGTAAGAATAATGATGATGATGATGGTAATAAATGATGATTAATAATAATTAGTTACAACGTGCTTTACAGAAAAAGATAAAACAATGACGATAAGAAATAATGATAATGATGTCTGATGATAGATAATAATGGTAAAAAGTGATAATGATGATCATTATGACGATTATAATAAGTGATGAGGATGATAATGTCTGATGATGAATAAAATAACAAATATAAGTACAATAACAACGACAATGACGATAAGAAATGATGATAATGATGTCTGATGATAGCCAATAATGGTTAAAAGTGACCCTTTTTCAGTGGGATCATGGTAATTAGACAGTACCATGACTGCCTTGGTGTCCTGCAAAATGCAGAAAGTCAGGTCGTCCTTCTGAGCCACTTTGAATTCATGTTTGCCCAGAGATGTTTGCTTGGTCAGCATTTTGTTTTTTGGGAGTCCCTTTCTGTTTGCACGGACAGTGCCGCAGGCATTCAGTCCCTTGCTCTTCATGTCCTGGAAAAGCTCCACCCCTGAGTAGAAGTTGTCCATATAAATTGACAGATGAGACCCATAATAGGGTGTAGCTAGATCCATGACAACTCGGTGAGCGAGACCCTTCTCCTGTGTCCCCTCACACCCAGTGTAGACTTGGAAGTTGGCAACATAGCCAGTGGAGGTCTCTGCCATGACCCACACCTTCACACCCCATTTTGTTGGTTTGAGGGGCAGATATTGACGGAAGGCGAGTCTTCCCTTGAACTTCACCATGCTCTTATCTATTGTCACAAAGCCATTCACCTCGTAGAGTGACTGAAACTGAAGTGGTGAGGTAGTCGAGAAACCATCTCAGTTTCCACAGCTTGTCAGAGCGGTCCACGTCATCTGCTAAGTTATCTTGTAGGTGGAGATACCTGAAAATGCACATAAGTATTCACATGGGTAACAATATTATTATCATTATTATTTTTATTATTAACAACAAATTATGACAAGTAAAAATGTGTCTTATATGCTTTCATCCAAAGCAACTTACGTACTTACCTGTGTGAATACTTATGTGCATTTTCAGGTATCTCCACCTACAAGATAACTTAGCAGATGACGTGGACCGCTCTGACAAGCAAACTAAACACTTAGCTTTGGCGAAGCCAAATAATCAATGACCTAACTGCAATCTATCACAACAATAACTCAGTAAACAGCATCACATCACATACAACAAGTTAAACAGTCTTGCTTAGCCTGTAAAGCTGTGATAAGCTATGCCCAGTTGTTACATTACCGATCCTTGAATGGATGGAAGAAAGAGTCACTTGGTGGTATGCTGCTTTGTTAGCCGGCAGAAGAAGGCTGGGAAGGTGTGGTTTCAGCTGCAGTCTTTGTTGTGTCCTTTGTTCCAAAGGTTCTGATCCGAGGAAGCTGGTCGCTCGGGGTCCTTGCAGAGTTAGACGCTGGGTGCTAACTCACTTAGTTCCTTGTTGCTGGAAAGCTAGTTGCAAACCTTGTGTTTGCAATTGAGTCTGTGATCAGTTGCCCTCCCTTTAGTGGTTTGGGGCTATGGAGCCAGAGTCTGGGCCTCTGGGCAGTTCCAGGCCCAGCGTGACAGAGTCACATGTCGCTGTAAAGGTCCAATCAAGTTTTGGGACTTGAGTCTCACTGAGGTGTGAGGTGAGATCTCCTGTGGAGATGGGTGTCGCATAGCCGTCTTTGTTTGGAGAACAAAGAGCATGCAGAGAAAAAAGCTCTTAAATCTCCAGTTATGATTTTACCAAATAAAAAGTCATCTGTGGTCCTGTGAATCCCAACATTAGTATTGGATCTTTTTCTGGTTGACCTATTACATCACAGACCAAACAATCGACAAACAAGTTAGCAAACTGGTATCATGGTAGATAACCTTACAGCTCTTTACAGCTCTGCACATTCCTTCTGTCAAAAAATACAACGCTCTGGATGTAGATGTCGCCTGGTTGTTACCGCCTTCTTCTTATGTTATACATTTAATGCTTATCGACTTCCACATCAAAGCCCAGGGCGGAAACTGTGAGAGCATGCACAGAACGCCTAGGAATATTTCAACTACCAATCGCATTATCTGGGTGTGTTGGTCCCGCTTTGAGAAATTCGATTTAGTGTGATTTCAGTTGGACTAATACTATAAATCCATTTTCTCTGATGTCATGTGTAGTGTAATATTTACTGAAGTGTTTATATTGTACCTTTAAGTTGACTTTTAAAGATACGTGTTGAAGCAATGTACTCTGTGCACTGACAAGACACACACTAGTTTATTATTTCATGTATTCCTATGACACACATATACACTCATTGAGCACTTAAGCTTTGTGGTGGAGAAGTACCGAGGATTAAAAATAGCATGAGGATGGGCTCAGAAACACTGGTGGAAAGTTAACGGAATTCCAGCTTGTCCTGATATGACTCTGGTAAGAAGAGGCGGTCTTAGACTGCCCAGAAAAGCATTACACTGTGAAATTGGCTCCAAGGGAGAAAAGGAGAGAGGGGATACTATTACAGTTGCAATCAAATTTATTCAACCCCCATTGCATATTAGGCTTATTGGCAAAATATACAATTTCTCAGCTGTTTGCAATAAACAAATTACACAAGAACTGTTTAAGTAGTTCAATGAAACTAATATTACAAGGGTTTTGATCCAAATTCAACACAAAATGCTACTTTTAATGACTACTGCGGTCTCAAAATTATTCAACCCCTTCATGACAAGCATCTTCAGTACTTAGTAGAGCACCCTTTTGCTGTTATGACCTGCTGCAAACGTGATGCATAGCCAGACACCAGCTTCAGACAGCGTTCCTGAGGAATCTTAGCCCATTCCTCATGGGCAATGGCCTCCAGTTCAGTAATATTCTTGGGTGTGTGTTTTGCTACCGCCTTCTTCAAATCCCACCAGAGATTTTCTATGGGGTTCAAGTCAGACGACTGTGACGGCCACTCTAGAATCTTCCATTTCTTCTTCTGAAACCAAGCCTTGGTGGACTTTGAGGTATGCTTGGGATCATTATCCTGTTGGAAGGTCCAATGACGCCCAAGCTTCAGCTTCCTCACAGACGGCACAACGTTTTTACCTAAGATTTCCTGATACTTGACTGAATCCATCGTGCCCTCCACACGCTGCAGGTTTCCAGTGCCAGAGGCAGCAAAGCAGCCCCAGAGCATCACTGAGCCACCGCCATGCTTCACTGTAGGCAGGGTGTTCTTTTCAGCATAAGCTTCATTCTTCTTCCTCCAGACATACCGCTGTTCCATAGGCCCGAAAAGTTCCAGTTTTGTTTCATCACTCCACAGAACAGAATTCCAAAACTTCTGTGGCTTATTTATATGGTTTTGAGCATAATGGAGCCGACTTTTCTTGTGCTTTTGGGTCAGTAGTGGTGTACGTCTTGGAGTCCGGGCATGGAGCCCTTCGGTGTTTAGTATGCGCCTTATTGTACAAACTGAAACCTCAGTGCCTGCTGCCACCAAGTCTTGGTGCAGGTGTTTTGCAGTCACTCGAGGGTTTTTGAACACTTGCCTCCTCAGGAATCTGGTGTAGTCACTGTTCCTTTAACTTTGAACTTGCGAACTATGCTTCCAACTGTATCTCTAGGAACATTCAGAGCTTTTGCTATCATTTTGTATCCTTTTCCTTGTTTGTGCAAGGCAATGATTTCTTCTCTGAACTTTTTGGACAATTCTTTTGACTTAGCCATATTTCGAACATGCAATCAAACGTCACTCTCAACAAAACCCTAGCCAGTCCAGGTATTTATGTGTTCTGTCTCAAACACACCTGAACTAATGAAGCCCTTGATTAGTTGCACCAGGTGTGCTTGAAACAGGGGGTTGAATAATTGTGATTAGTTGCATCAGGTGTGCTTGAGACAGGGGGTTGAATAATTTTGAGACTGCAGTAGTGATTAAAAGTAGCATTTTGTGTTGAATTTGGATAAAAACCATGGTAATATTAGTTTATTAAACTATTTCAACTGTTCTTGCATGGAGGTTGAATAATTTTGATTGCAATTGTATGTACGAGTGCAAGTAAAGAGGCGGCCATCAGGGGGAGACAGGAGAAATGTGACACTGTTATGTTTCAGCTCCAAGGGGGAAGGATTAAAGAAAAAGTGGAAACTCAGCAGAAATGTGACACCGTTACGATCAGAGCCAAGTGGGAAGGATTAAGAAAAAGATGACTCAGCAGAAATCTTCACAATAAAAGCGAGCGCGCAGACAAAGACATTCCAGTCCTGCTTCAGAGATTGACTCATTGAGTATTTGAGTTTTTTTGATATCTAATAGAAAACAACGAAAGTCCGTTCGAGAAGAAAGGAACGAGGTCGCGAGCTTTCTAGCCCAGCTCCAGACCTTTAAATTTATGTTTCTACACATGTAAACGTACTGACTGGTTTTGGAAGTCATAACCTAGTCACCTTGCTAAAAATAAACTAGCTAATAGATTGTAGACACAATATGGAGCACCTGCCTGTGTGAGTTTGGGAGGAAAGCAACAACAACTTACCAGAGCCAAAATATGACATACCTTTAACTCGTACATTTTTCTTTTTGAGGTGAGGAGGTACTGAAAGAGAACCCGTGCAGAAAGGCTGTATTTGTCATCCGGAACATGAATAACTGTCACACTGGCCACCTGGAAGAGGAAAGACAGCATAATGAGTTTCTTTAACTTTGAAATATTCAATTACTTTTCTTCAAGTCTCTCATTTATACGCTCAGGGTTTTTTTTATCTGTATCTGTAGTGAAAATACAGAGATGAAACTGAGTCTGGTCATCTGATTCAAAAACAAACAGCAAGTTAGAGCTGCTGCGCAGTGGTGTATAGGGCCCGTGCATTTTGAGGAGAAAAAGAACAAGGAGGAGGAAGAGAAGGAGATGAAAAAGAGGAGGAGAAGAAAAATGAGAAACACAGGAGGGTCAATCAGCAGAACTGTCCAGATCATAACTATTTTTAACTTCTTAAAGGTCCAGTGTGTAGGATTTATGGGGATATTATTTAACCTTTATTTAACCAGATAAAACCAATTGAGATCAAATCTCTTTTACAATGGTGACCTGGCCAAGAGGCGGAAGCGTTAAACGTCGGAGAGCAACAAATGAAAACAAACACACATATACAAACCACAGTCAAAGGAGATGTGATAAAGAGGAAAAAGACTACCATCAACAAGCACAAGGAATGATCACATAAAAAGACAAAAACAATAAAAGACAGCAGCAGATGATCAAAGCAAACTAAACACCATGGCAAGAGCAAACAGTGGTCAAAAGCTCAGCAGTATTTTGCTTAAAGCTCTCCAAAGAGACTAGAGAGGCCAACTTGAGTCGCGTTTGGAGGTCATTCCATGAGCAAGGGCCAAAATAGGACTCCTACGACCAGCCTCAGTCCATACTGAGGGCACGATGCAACTCAACCAGGTGCTGGATCTGAGGTTGTGGGAGTCTTGAGCCAGGACAAATTTCGATTTATATATTATATATTGGCAGAAATGGCAAATAATATAATAAGCATGTTTTCTTTAGTGTATAATCACCTGAGAATAATTCCATTAAATTCAATTCAATTTTATTTATTATGCCCAGTATCACAAATCACAATTTGCCTTACAGTATACAACATCCATTTGTTCTTTGGACCCTCACAGCACATAAAGACCCAAAAAAAAAAACAAAAAACCTTTGTCGGGGAAAAACATGGTAAAAACCTCAGGAAGGGCAACCGAGGAGGGATCCCTCTTCCAGGACGGACAGACGTGCCATAGATGTCATTCAGAACAGATCAACATAATAAATTTAAAAATTGACATTGCGATTTTTTTTGCCCCCAGTGATATATATTGCGATTTATATATTTTGGGATGCATTATTTTCCACCAGATGACTTCAGTAGCTCTACTTGGTGAGAATTAATCATTCTGGAATTATTAGGCTGATATTGCTTTGAATGCAACAGCATAAAATGTGCTAAAAAATAGACATTTGTTCAGTGAAACCACCATCTCTTTAATATGTGAATAGTTTTAAAGACCACACCACTCCTCTTGCTGATTTAGGAGACATGTTAGAACCTCAGTCAAGTGATATTGTTTAATCAAAAATCAAATTATCTGAAACATTATGTTAATGAATACATGTTGTTCATCTGGGCTCGAGAAGCAGATGGATCCAAGACCAGTACATTTACAAAAAAAAATCTTTATTATGAAATAAACCATGAGTGACATCATAAACTGTTAACATTTTAATAAAATGTATATTGTTCATTGCTAAAATAATATTGAACAATAACCTTTTTTGAAAATAAAAAAACGGTATCATCATTCTAACAAAATGACACATGTAAAAAACACAGCTTCAAACCACTCCCACATCTTAAGTATAAAAATAAGCAGTCATAAACCACCATGGTTTATTCTCTCCCCTTCTTCACTAATTTTTCAGCTAAAGTTTTCACTTTGCGAGAGAGCCGCCTGCTTTTTCCCCCAAGCTGGAAACGTGGTGTGTGGTCCTCAGCTGATTGATTGATTGATTGCGTGGGCCTCGGTGTCTGAGAAAGTGCCTGTCTCGCAGTCGCATTGCCAGGTAGGTCTACCTTTATTCTAGTAAATCCAACACCTTTATTCTTTATTCCACTAAATTAGACAACTTTTGTTGGTCAGTCATTAAAACGGAAGCGAGTTTTACGTGCATCACTCAGCAATTTCAACGTATATGCTTAATTTAATTAGGGCAAGCCACATGTCGCAAGCCCTGCTATGTAAATATTGCACACGTATGCATTGCAATAGCGATGCTTAAAAGTTGTATCGTTCAGGCCTAACAGTAGCCCAGAACAGACAAACCAAACACCGGCATGGCACTGACATTTTAATGTAAAAATGGTTTATTCAGTATTTTTACTAGTTTAAATCACCTGGTCTGTTTGATTTGGAGAGGAAGAGACCTCTGTGGATAATTCAGGTCCAAGTAAAAACTTCCTAAACATCTGGATTAGAAAAAAAAAGGTGGACACACATTGGTGGTTGTTCATCCAAAAAGCGTCAGAGAATCACTGATTTGTAACATGAAACTGCTTCATGCATTGTTTTTAGTGTTTTAAATCATCTGGTCTGTTTGTATTTGAGAGGAGTAGAACTATGTGGATAATTCAGCTTAAGGTAAAATACTCACTGAAGGAATTCTAACTTGGAAGAGTTTTGGCTGGTTTCAATCTGCAATCGTCACCACCAAATCCCCCTGAATCTTACACACTGGACCTTTAAATTAAAAATATCTTTCTTTGTTTTTTTTTTTTTTTTCAATTTAAATGTTCATTCTTGGCAACCTTATACACAGACATAATGCCAATTTCCATTTGTATGCAGATGATAGTCAGAATTATTTAAGTTATGATCCAACAAATAACTACCAAAACACTATTAACCTGCTAAATTGCCTTCACAAATTTCCTGCAACTAATGCTGATAAGATAGAGACATCGATCATTGGACAAGATAGTGCAAACATTCAAATATCAAACAGTTTTGGTTCTCTGTCCCACTCAATAACTGCAGAAATCACTGTGTCATTTTTGATCAAACCCTCAGTTTAGACAAACATGTAAATTCAGTAGTTCAATCAGGCTTCCACCATCACAGAAATATCTCCAGATCAGATCATTCCTTTCTAACAAACATCTGGAAACTGTTATTCATGCATTCATAATTTATCCAATTAGATATTCTAATTCCTTTCCCTCTGGCATCATTAAAGCTCATACAAAACTGCTGCCAGAATCTTGACTCGGACTAAAAACATGACCACATCAAACCGTTCCTTGCCTCCCCACACTGGTTACCCCTAGCTTTTAGAATTGATTTTAATATTTCATTTATAACTTACAAAGCCCTGAAAGGCCTTGCTCCAAGTTATATAACAGATCTTTTATTGCCCTATGTTCTTTCTCGGACCCTGGGATCCTCAGATGCATCTTTTCTTGTTGTTCCTCAGTCCAGATTAATTCACAAAGGTGATAGAGCCTTTGCAGTTAGAGCAAAAAGACTTTGGAATGACCTGCCTGAGGAGATCAGGGCTGCAAACTCAGTCTCATCTTTTCAAAACCCACACGTTTAAAATTGCCTTTCAGTGATTTTATCTGCTTTATTAATGCATGTTTTACTCTGTTATGTGTTTTCTGTTTTCATTGCTTTTATCTGTTTTATTTGCTTTGTCTTTTATTTGGCTTTGTAAAGCACTTTGTGACTGTGTTTTGAAAGGTGCTTTATAAGTAAAGTTTATTATCATTAATAATTTATATTTATTCTGCATCACTCAGAGCTTGAATTCACAACTTTAGATGCCAGGGGAAACGCATAATCTTGTTGAGCTATCTGCTGTCTATGGTGCCAGACTATAGTTGGGTTTCCATCCAAATGTAGCAAAAATTTTAACCGAATTTTCAGAAAAATTGCCAAAAGAAAATGCAAATTTCTGCACTTTTCCATCCACTACTGTTGCCAGTCAAACGTATGAAAATGTTCATTCATTATCTGTAACTGCTTATTCTGGAACAGGGTCGTGGGCGGCCGAAGCCTATCCCAGCTGTGAGAGGAGAGATACACCGTGGACAGGTCACCAGACTATCAAAGGACTGACACATAGACACAGACAACCATTCATGCTCACATTCACACCTACAGGCAATTTAGAGTCACCAATTAACCTGTCTTTGAACTATGGGAGGAAGCTGGAAAACCCGCAGAAAACCCACGCTGACACAGGAGGGCCACACAAACTCCACACAGAAGAGCCCCAGATTTGAATCCAAAACCCTCTTGCTGTGAGGCAACAGTGCTAACCACTGCATCACTGTGCCGCCCAAAAGGAAAACAATACATGTATAATAACATAGAGCACACTGGACAATGGAAACAGAAAGTTTTGAACAACTAATTTATAGCTCTGTGTTCCTGGAAGAGCTTTGCAGTTTGGGGTAAAAACAAAGTAATATACTTCATAATTCCTGCCCGGTCAAAGTGTCTGAAAATTTCTGCTTAATTTGTGCAATATTTTAACGCTGCAAAGTTGTGGCATGTATGACTGATTTGTTATGACATTACAAAGTTTCGAACTGTAGACAGCTGCTCTAGCGCCACCATCAGGACTACTGGCCCACAGTTTCAGGTGAGGAAGCTTGGCATAGGACTGGAACTATGTGCAAAGTTAGTTTATTTTTATGCATAAGAAGGCAGATTAAATGCACAGGAATAAGAGAAGGAAGGAAAAGGTGGAGAAGAAGAAGGACAAGAAGAAGAAGAAGAAGAAGAAGAACATTGGCAAAAACAAGAAGGACCAGCAGCACAGTTCTGAAAATGTCTGAATGTGAGGTAGACTCACGATGTTGTACGAGTCTCTGGCGTCCGGCTCTGCCAGCGTCAGCACAACCACAAGAGGGTAGTGTTGCCTTGGCAACGGCCCAAAATCTCTGATCCCCTGGTCAGCAGGAATCTGTGTGTGATATTCCACTGTGTCTTCACTGCTGATACTGAGAGGGTGCAGTCAAAGAGGCTAAGATTGGGAACTACTGTAGGAACAAAGTATATCAGCCAAACAGGGAGGGTTAAACCAAAGAAATGTCTCGGCCATCATGAGTATGCATTATGTTACCAAGATAAAATGATAGCATTGACTTCTTTGATTTATTGCTGTATAATGGTAAATAGAACATCCAACCCAAAGCACTTCAAACACAAGTAACTAACAGATATTGGAGACTATCAGTGTGCTTCAAATGGCATACTTCCTGTATTTATTTATTATTATTTTTTATTTATCCTTTATTTAACCAGGTGAGTCCCACTGAGACTGACATCTCTTTTACAAAGGAGCCCTGGCCAAGAAGGCAGCAAACCAAAGTTACAACAATACAACAACATAAAACATAAACACAACAGTACACAGATACATAAAGTACATACAGTACACATCAAATTCAAAGAAAGCAGCTACAGACTTCTGTTTTAATTTTAGCATTTTCTAGAGCTGATTCCAGGACCAAGGAGCATAGTAACGACAGGGTCGTAAAAATCCGGTCATAATCGTAAAAATCCGGTCATAATCTATTTTTACCGCTCATTTTAATTTTCGTTTTTAAATGATAATAAAGATATTCAAAGACATTTAGTTTTCATTTGTTCGTTTTTAATAAATCCAACAAGCTTCAGTTCGGCATCTGGTCTACACGCGAGCCGCGAGCGCTTCTGTCAAGCTGGATAGAGCGGATCGTACCAAACAGGAAGTCGGACACAGAAAAGACAAGAGAATCCGGCCAATTTTCAAAATAAAATAACAACAGCAAACACTGAAGAACGTGAGGGAATACCATGTTTATAATTTAAAATAACACAACAGTGCATAATCGAACACATTTTTCAATACCCTAATCACTTCATTACAATTTTAATTTTGTGTCACTGAGCCTACAGACTACATAAATAAAATGGTCAGAACAATATGCCCTATTCATTCAGTGTTTATCCAACACGCTCAATACATGGACATGCAATGACAAATTGTCATTAACTTATTACGTTATAAAAAACGATTAAAATATGGACTTACCCATGTTTAAAATGACCTGTTGAAGTGAAAAAACAAGTACTGATGGGAACAGACGAGTGGAGTCGATGTTTAACTGGCGTGGAGAGCACAGGAGAAATGCGCTGCCTGTGTGGACAGTCAAGCGCCTGCGAGTATACTCGTAGGACTTCTGCGGCACTAACGCATCTGGTGTGTCCAGGCCGTTATGTTAACAACGCTACATTAAGCAGATGAATGACTTTTTCTCTGTAGCGTGAAAACGGCAGCCACTTAAACCACTGACTGTGCACTCCGCCGCCAAGTGGGCAGGGGTGGTAATTGCAACCGGTCAAATGACTGACGGCCTTCAGATTTTCCGGTCATTGTTGTAAAAAACCGGTCAATGACCGAAAATATCCAGTTAACGCGACCCCTGCAGCAGAGGCATGCATAATAAAGAACATCACCATGATCAATCATGGGAAGAAAGGTAGCCATGACAAGTCTCTTTTTGGCAGTGAGATTAAAACAATGCTTGTTTCTAAAATAAAATCCTAGTTTAATCCTGAGTTTTTTTGCAAGATTATCCAAATGAATAGAAAAAGTAAGTTTTATCAAGCCAGACTCCAAGATATTTATAGGAAGCCACCTGTTCTATACACTTTCCATCAGTGGTGAAAATGTTAGGAACAGGAGGCTGGGAGTGGGATCTAGAGAAATGCATGACTTTTGTGTTACTAGCATTTAAAACCAGTTTAAGATTTTTAAAATCAGCCTGAATCAAGCTAAACAATTTTTGGAGGTGCTGAAAAGCGCAAGACAGAGAGGAGGCACAAGAATAAACAATTGTATCATCTGCATACAGATGAAAGTTAGATGAATCAGAATTTTGTATATCTGTGCCAATGTTGTTTATATAAATCGTGAACAAGATAGGCCCCAGAATAGACCCTTGGGACATGCCCCGGGCAACTGACTTGGAAGATGACCTCTGACCATTGGCAAGGACTGTCTGTGACCTGTCAGTGAGATAATTTGCAAACCAACTAACAGAGTTGACACTCAAGCCAATATTATGGAGCCTATTGATTAAGATGGTGTGGTCCACAGTGTCAAACGCCTTAGATAAATCAATAAACACTGCTGCGTAGTGTTTATTATTATCAAGACCCTGAATTATGTCGTTCAGCACCTTGGAGGCAGCAGTTATAGTGCTATGACCTGATCTAAAACCAGACTGAACAGAGCTAAGCTGACTGCTTTCTAATAAAAACTCCTTTAGCTGGTCATTCACCAGGGTTTCCATAATTTTAGCAACCACTGAGAGTTTTGAAATAGGCCGATAGTTGTTCAGGTCAGAGGGATCCCTCCCCCCCCCCTTAAAAATGGGCAAAACATATGCCTCCTTCCAAGATCTGGGGATAGAATTAGTGGACAGGGATAAGCTGAAAATGTTAGCCAGGGCTTCAGCTATGAGTTCTGCTGAGAGTCTTAAAAAATAGGGATCCAGGCCATCTGGGCCTGGAGACTTCTTAGGGTCAATTGCTTTTAAAGCCTTAAGGACAGATCAGTAGAAATATGTTCAAAAGCAAAACCATAAAAACCTGGAGTCTATTCAGCAGTGGGAGGGCTGGACAAGACACTGGATTTCAAATCGGGAAACAAGTGATCGAACAAATATCCAGCAGAAACAAAGTGTTCATTAAAAAGATCAACAATAGATTGCTTATCAGTTATTGGCTGAGAACAATGAATAATTTGTTGGGGGAGCGAAGCAGGGGCAGTAGGGTTAAGCGACTTAATTGTTTTCCAGAAATTAGAAGGGTTATTTAAGTTTTCAGACGTCAAGTTGAAATAATATTCAGATTTGAATTTCCTGATGGAAGCAGTACATTTATTCCGGAGACACCGAAATCTGGACCAGAGAAAAGAAGAGTTTGATTCTCTGGCTTTGGCCCATGCTTGGTTCATTTGCATGGACATATACCACCAGGAGTAAAAGAGAAAATACCAACTGACCTTTAATGGTATAAGGTGTAGGTATCAGCTTCTATTTAATTTTGGTATTTCACATGCTATAAGCCTATGTCATCAAGCATGTGATAGCCATGCAAAATATCGCAATACTATGCTGTATTGATTTTTCCCCCACCACAATCAGAAATAAATATCGTCTATAACATTACAAGACAAAAAAAAACCTTCCGCAGAATTCTACAGATTTTCATTTCGAATCACTGCTGAAAACAATTTAAAAATCTGCAGATTCTGTATGGGCATGCATATAGGGTTGGGACTCGTTAGGATTTTAACGATTGCGATTCCTTACCGATTCCTTCTCAACGGTCCGATTCCTTACCGATTCCTACATTATATTCATTATACTTGCTATACTTAAACAAGTATATAGCCTAATAAACACAAATGCTATCATGCAAATACAAAAACTTTATTCTAACTGTTGCACAGTACAATTAGATGAAAATACACATTTGTGTGTGGTGTGTATTTCAGATTTAGAGCTTGTATCATCTCCCTGAGAATATATAACAACAAAAAGTGATTCTCTTATTTCTACAGTAACACTATTACCTCAAATTAACCACAACAATGTAATAAAAAATACTTACATGCATTCATGCTTGGGCACTGCTATTTACGTGACAACACCTGAACAGAACACACACACACATTGGCTGTTTGTTTCTACCGCTCCCCTCGCTGGAAGTCTCGGACCTCCCGCCACCCGCCTCCGCTTTGATTAAACGCTGAATATAAAATAAAAGAGGGAGACAAGTTTTCCTATTTTATCTTATTTTGTTATATTTCTCCCTCTCCCCTCGCTGGAAGCAGACCTCCCGCTGCCCGCTCCCGTCTCAAACACGGAGGTCTCCCTCTCCGCAGAGCACCCACAGCACACGCCCGGCCTGTTAAATAGCCTGTAACCATAACAACTGTGTGACACAAACTCAGTGCTTTAGTAATTAAATAATGTTGGACTCGGTCGAGTTTGGACAGAAATATGTGGCCCGTGCCGCACTCATTTTTTTTTTTTTTTTTTACAATCTAGGAACCATTTGCAGGAACCGTTACTCCAAATGTGATGGAACCGGTTCCGGAACCGGAACTTTGGACCCAGTTCCAAAAAAGAACTGGATCTGGATCCCAACCCTACATGCATATGAGTATTTGTTAGTACTGTAAAGGATACTGGAAGCTCTGGTAGTGGTGGTAGCGGAAGTGCAGGGCCTCCTGGAAATACTGGGAGGTGCTGAGCAGCAGGCCATGCTGGTGGGCCTGCAGCGCTCCCTGCAGGGCACTGACCTCACAGCCCCAGAAGCAGTTCAGGACACAAGGCTCCAGACAGCGGGGCCTCACTGACACACCATCTGCAAGAGAGTGTTCGCTAATGTTATGATGGCCTGGATACATAAAGTAAAAGTACCACTCAGTGGTTGTATTGGATATAAAGAGGCTGCGACATTTGGAGGTAGGATTCATAACCCTGCATAAAAATAACTGCACACATAGATTATTGGTGAATGTCATATATTCACATGAATGCTTCCAACAGACACACTGCTAAAAAAAATTAAGAGAACACTTAAATCACACATCAGGTCTTGATGAACAAATTATTCAAGTTGAAAGTCTTTACTGATGTACATTGTATAATTTGTTAAGAACAGAATGATGTAACAGTGGACAATGGAAAACAAAATCTTCAACCAACTGAGGGCTGGATTCAAAACCACACCAAAAATTATTATTACTTTCAATAATGTTGTTGTAACCTACTGTCATTACCTGCATCTCTCTCTCTGTCTCTCTCTCTATCTCATTGTGTCATGCGGATTACTGTTAATTTATTATGCTGATCTGTTCTGTACGACATCTATTGCACGTCTGTCCGTCCTGGAAGAGGGACCCCTCCTCAGTTGCTCTTCCTGAGGTTTCTACCGTTTTTTTTCCCGTTAAAGGGGGGGGTTTTTTTGGGGAGTTTTTCCTTATCCGCTGCGAGGGTCATAAGGACAGAGGGATGTCGTATGCTGTAAAGCCCTGTGAGGCAAATTGTGATTTGTGATATTGGGCTTTATAAATAAAATTGATTGATTGATTGAATTGAAATCAAGTAAAAAAATGAAATCACAGGCTGACTTTTATCAATTCTACCACAGCAACTCATAATGTGACTTAGTAGTGTGTGCATAGCTCCTGCATGCCTGTATGCTCTCCCGACAATGTCTGAGCATGCTCCTGATGTGACAGTGGATGGTGTCCTGGAGGATCTCCTCCCAGATCTGGATGAGGGCATCAGTGAGCCCCTTGACAGTCTGTGACGATGCTGCCATCGCTACATAACGTCCCATGGGTGCTCAGTTGGAGTTAGGTGAGGAGAATGAGAGGGCCAGTCAATGGCATTAATGCCTTCATCATCCAGAAACTGTCTACACACTCTGGCCACATGAGGGTGGGCATTGTCCTGCATCAGGTCGAACCCAGGGCCCACTAAGGTCTGACAACTGCTCTGAGGATTTCATCCCAGTACCTAACAGCAGTCAGAGTACCACTGGCTATGACATGGAGGTCTGTGCGACTCTCCAAGGATATGCTTCCCCAGACCATCACTGACCCACCACCAAACCCGTCATGCTGGGTGATGTTACAGGCAGCATAACATTTACCACAGCGTCTCCAGACTCTTTCATGTCTGTCACATGTGCTCACTGTGAACCTGCTCTCATTTGTAAAGAGAACAGGGCACCAACCTGCCAATTATGGTGTTCTCTGGCCAATGCCAATCGAGCTGCACCGTGCACATCGGGCCCGCATGCCACCCTCATGGAGTCTTTTTCTGACAGTTTGGTCAGAAACATGCATGCCAGGAGCCTGCTTGAGATCATTTTTTAGGGCTCAGGCAGTGCTCCTTCTGTTCCTCTTCACACAAAGGAGCAGATACCAGTCCTGCTGCTGGGTTGATGTTCTTCTACGGCCCTGTCCAGCTCTCCTTGTGTAATGGCCGCTCTCCTGGTATCTCCTCCATGCTCTTGACACTGTGCTGGGAGACACAGCAAACCTTGTGACCGCTCGTATGGATGTGCCATCCTGGAGGAGCTGGACTACCTGTGCAATCTGATTGACCTGCAGGTACCACCTCATGCTACCAGTAATGACAAGGACACTAGCAGAACACAAAACTCGAAAACAATCAGTCAGGAGGGATAAGGAGAGAGCAATTGTCTGTGGACACCACATGTAAAACCATTCCCTTTTTTGGGGTTGTCTTGCTTTTGCCTCTCTATTGCACCTGTTGTCACTTCTTATTTGCACCAAGACAGGTGAAACTGATTCACAATCGCTTGTGCTTCCTAAATGGACAGACTGATATTCCTGAAGTTTAAGTGACTTGGTGTTACACTGTGACCATTAAGTGATGCCTTAAGTTTTTTGAGCAGTGTGTACTCTGTACCAAGAAACTATACTGATTCAGGTACAGACATCCACACATAAGAGCTGTACAGCAACCACGGTGTGTTACCTGTAGTACCCTGGAACAGGAAGGGTTAATTGTCATTCTCTTGTATACATTTGTTAGACAGAAGAAGCATTTAAGATCCCCAGACACTTTAAATCCAAGTCAGGCTATCTTTAATATTCCCAGTTACTGAGTTCTGTTGCTGATGGTGGCTGTACTCACCAGTGACAGATGCCGGCCCAGAGCCCATCTCCAGGATGAAGGGATTGGTCATCTGGACCATTTGCTTCTCAGGGGTTGGTAGGAGGGACTCTGTCTCATCTGCGCTGTGAAGGATCACTGGGACATCAAAGCCAAACCTGCAGGACAGGAGGCAGAGTCAACAAAGTGTGAAAGAGCACAAGGTACTATGCTATGTTATGCAAGGCTCTCTTTTCTATATCACACCAAATTAATTCACTGATCTGCTTCGGCTGGGTGATGGGGAAAATGTTTTTCAAATCAAACTTTTATCCTGTTGACTCTTTATCCAATACCTCCTTTCTGAATAGATATCTCTAAAACTACTGGTTACATTATTGTGGAATTTGATGTGGATATTCATAGATTCTAAAATAGTTTTGTGTCCAACTGACCTCTAATCAATCACCTTGACTCGTACACAAGAAATCAAAAAACTGAATGCACAGACTGCAAAGAAATTTTGAGAAGCATATTCAGGAACCACGAGCCACTCCATGAGGTTTCGTCTTATATCAACCTTTAGCCAACTTGTCAACGATGATCTCATAATCGAACCATTTATTTGAGGGGTCTTCTCACTTGGCCTACTTCCGAATAAAACTTGTGGGATGCAATATGGCAGTCAGGGGCTTGATTGGGCTGTAAAGCGACTGTCAACAGACTTATTTACTGTAACTGCTCAAAAAAATGAATGGAAACAGATGAAGCCCACATTATATACTGCAGCTTGCCTATGGTAAAGTGGAGACCTAGTTTACACAAAGTAGTAAGTTAGTGCATAGGAATGTTTATGTGTTGCTTGGAAACAATACAGTCCACCTGCAAATCTATTTGTCAAATAGAACCTGTTGTAGCTTCCTTACTGTTGATAAATGGAGCTTGTAGAACTGTTGTATAAAGGCAATATCACACTTAAAGTTGTACTGTACTGAATATCAGCATAGCTGTGATTATCTTTGGCACTTGGCCTACAGTGTCGTGCTTATGACTCAATCACAGCCATGCTCATAAACAGTACAACAGCACTCCCTCTCACGTGATATTGCTTAAATATTTCCCTCAGGGGCGTAGGTAGCTTAGTGGTAGAGCAGGCGCACCATGTACAAGGCTGTTGCCGCAGCGGCCCGGGTTCGAGTCCAGCCTGTGGCCCTTTGCTGCATGTCATCCCCTCTCTCTCTCCCCCTTTCACACTTAACTGTCTTGTTCATTAAAGGCAAAAAATGCCCCCAAAAAATATCTTAAAAATAAATATTTCCCTCAGATGTAGAAATGTATAAGTATCAACAGCCATAAAATGGAAACAGTCCAGAAAAGTTCAAGTACCACAAAACTGTGCGTAAGTACAGTACATGAGTAAATGCACTTAGTTATATTCCACCACTGTTAACCTAAATACATTTAACTGTTTTTCCAACTCTAGCCAATAAATGTTTAATGATAGCAGTTGTGAAGTGCACGTTTCAATGTTTCAATGATTAGATGGGCACTTATGGTGTAAATAAAATGTCAGACTACATTTTAGACAGCATCGAAATAGATAGAAATTTATGTATTTTCTTAATTTGTAGTTTAAACGGTTTGAATCAGGGCGCGTGTATCTTAAAACAACTCACAATCATACCTGTGAATACATTTGGCCGACGTATGTTTGTGAACACTCCGATAGAAAGACTGCACTCTACAGCAGTGACAGCTGTAGCTGCTTCAAATGTTCTGGCAATGTAACTATGTAACGTTTTTATAATGTCATGGTTACTACCGAGATGATAAAGTAGGCTACACGCCAAGTCGCAAAGATAAAACAATAGGAAAAGTTGCCTAAATGGACAAAACTTGAGAGAGACGTGTGGGGGTAATGTGTGAAAACAACCTTCCAAACATGTTGCCAGGTCGGTGGCTAAACTAATGTGGCTAAACACTTACCAGCCCAGCACCATGGCGGCGGTAACAACGAAACACAAAGAAACCACACTAATGTAAAACAATGGGGAATACTCGTACAAGGTCACCAAGAAGACCGCTGCCATTTCATATGATGTTTGTCACGGAATAAGCCAAGTTGTTTAAGAAATCTGCTGCGAAACATTCTCCATGACGGCCATGACAGGAAGTCAGAGAGGACTACGGTGGCCCAGAAGGTATATAAAGGAAAAAAATTACTTTTGTTTTTTGTTAACACAAAGCAAGTTGAAAGTCATCAATATGCACTACCATACATTTAGACGAAATCTAACGTCCGTGTGTTTAAACTAGTAACCTAAATACGTCACGCATGAGAAAACTGATATGTAGCTACTTATATGAGTATTTCTTTAAGGAGGAATAATATGCAGGCCTATGTTTCTGTTTGTTTTTTCATTTTTATTTTGCACTTAACGATGTTATCATGTTTTCATGATGTCGGCAATACCTTTTGTTAGCTTCTCATTTATTTGAATCTGTACTTATATTTGTCTTAACGCAAGGAGTAGGCTACATGTCTGCTATTATGGAAATTCCTATACCTTTCAATAAAGTTTGAAAAAACAAACTGCTTAGGCTATATGATGAACTTGTCTTCAAGATAAAAGTAAAAATAAGTTTGAAAGCTGGTAGCAAGCTACAGTATAGCTATAGTAAATAGTGGTTAACTACTGTATATATATATATACTTTGTATTTTATTTTGTAAGTCCCTCATTCTTGCTCGTGCATACGAGTTTATTTTGAAAGTATGAATAGGAAATTTACTTTGTTGTCATTAACTTGACATTATGGAGCAGCTGAGATTGCCGTCATAGCTCGTAGCGTTCATTGAATATTTCAGCAGTTATCACTTAAAACCCGTAGGCCTAATTAATCAGGGAGTGTAGGCCTACACGGGCAGTATAGCAGGGGGGTTATGTTTAGTTGAAGCAATCCGGGTGAAAATTTTTACATCTTTAGCTATAATGTTTGGGAATATTGTCGGGGTCAGGTCAACTCGACATACAGATGTTATCAGCTGGGGAGAAAAAACCCGTTAATCTGGCTAAATAGTCTGACGGTAGGGATATTGTTGTGATTTTTTGTAACGCTATCTCCATGTTTTGAGTCTAATTTGCGGCGAAATCATGAGCACAATGAAGGAAAAACCGGCTATCCGCCAGCAGAGCTCAGAGAATAACTCTGTCAGCAGTAGTGAATGGGATATGGCAAATGATGTATTTGTGTCCGGCTACGACGACAATCCGATGGGAGATGGTGTTGCTGCTGCGGACAGGAGCCCAGAGCAACCCGGCTTGGACAGACACCTGCCGCTGTTATCCCAGGATGGCATGATGCTGGGCCTGGCTGGGGAGGAATATTCGGGCACATCGTATCTGGACATCGACCCAGAGTACACCGAAAGTGACGGGAATGTCACAACCAAGAGGCGCATACGGTCCAATAGCTCCAGGCACCGCGGTGAGATCGTTACGGAGCTGGGACCAGAGGAGGTCCGCTGGTTTTACAAAGAGGACAAGCGGACGTGGAAGCCATTCGTCGGACATGACTCTTTAAAAATCGAGACTGTCTATCGGAGATTCTGTGAGCAGAACCCCGACAAGGTCAAACGCCTCGTCGATCCCAGCGAGGCCGAGGGGAAGGAGGCAGCCAGTTCTGGTGAGATCCAGCCGGAGAGTGGAGCGGTGGACGGTGGAAGTGTCCGGGTGGAGTCGGTGGTGCAGCAACGCGGAGGGCAGCAGCACTCGGTGTCGGAGGAGATGAGGGACCTGGACGACATCAGCGTGGAAGCAGTGTGTGTCAGAGGAGGGCTCTATGAAGTGGATATCAGGGAGAAGGAATGCTACCCTGTTTACTGGAACCGTGAGCATGTCAATTAATTTATGTCTATGATAAAGTTCTTACAGTGCAGGCTACTGCTACCATCTGATTACCCCTAGGTAGTCTGAGCACCACCAGCCTTAAGTTAGGCTTCTTTTTTTTTTTGAACCCGATTTCCTTTCTTGGGGGAAGACATGACAGTGTACCTTTGTGCTCCAGTAGCATAACTAGTCACTCACTCGGCTCTAGCTTCTTTTTGAGACAAATCTTAGTGCGAGGCAGACTAAACCATTTTGTGCCTTTGAGGGGTGACAGAGGCCTCAGAGAGCCCCCCCCCCCATATTTATATAGATATAGATATTCAACTATTCATACCATGACTGCAATATAGGCTACTCTTACGGACTATAATTAGACAATTAGTCAGTTCATCAGTTGTTTATTTTATTTTTTTTACTTGGAAAGAAATGTGGTAAAACACCACAATTACATACTGATGATGGTTGCAATTTTAAAATATCACTCTGCTAACTTTGTTAGCAATGGGTTTTTTTTTTCATTACATTGTTGTAATCAATTAAAAGCTATTTTCATTATCAATTAATCTATTATTAATGTGAACCCTGTGACAGCAGCAGCATTGCATTCTTGTCATCTTCTCCTGTTCTGCTAAATACTTCTGTGTACTTTCAGCTCAGAAACCATTCAAATATCAAAATGTTCAGCAAGTTAATGACAGTGGTGATATAATTCACTTATTATGATTTTTTTTTAGCTTTTTAAACCTCATAAGATGTTAATTTTTTTTTTCAACACATGATTCCTCAGTTTATGTTTTGACATCCTTCCCATGATGCACAGATAGAGTTCTCCAGTTGAAGTGTTACTTAATCCTAATAGGCACAATAACCACACCGTGTGGTAATTTATAACTCAGGTTTACTCGTGGCTCAGTGGGCAGGGTACATACATACAGGAGGACCACATGTCAGACTCCTATCTAATCTGGTGCAATCACAATTATAGTACATAGCACCTAGTATAGTTCCTGTGAATATCAATCAATTAATCAATTTTATTTATAAAGGCCAATATCACAAATTACAGTTTGCCTCACAGGGCTTTACAGCATACGATATCCCTCTGTCCTTATGACCCTCACAGCGGATAAGGAAAAACTCCCCCAAAAAACCCCTTTAACGGGGGAAAAATACGGTAGAAACCTCAGGAAGAGCAACTGAGGAGGGATCCCTCTTCCAGGACGGACAGACGTGCAATAGATGTCGTACAGAACAGATCAGCATAATAAATTAACAGTAATTCGTATGACATGTATATCACACATATCACTGCATCCCCCCTCTTTAGCTGGGATGTCCCACTGACTTCAACCTATGTAAATAAAACATTCTTGACAGAACTGCAAGCAATAACAACATACATTTTCATAGCACCCTTATTTAGAATTGTGCAGAATATAACGTCTGCTCACATTAGCGTAAAACACCATTAGATATCAATCAATTAGTGCATTTCTTGTAATAGACATAGGAACGTCAATCTCACAACAAAACAATAAACTTATTCAGAGTCCTTTTGTGTGTGTGTCACTGCGTGTAATTGTCTCTAATCATAGTCCTTGTAGTGAGCTGGTTTAGCAACCGCTCTTCCAGATCTCGTGTGTATTATCTTAGGACTAGTGGATTCTTCTGTGTTGGTGTTTGTTTCACAGGTTTGAGTGGAATGTGTTCCTGCTCCATGAGATTCATTCTGAGGTTGTGGTTCTGTGAAGCGGGTCCTTGCACTCCTTAGTGCATGAGGGTAGTGTATTTCACGCAGATGGCTCCTGCCACGTCTGATTTTGTTTCCATTTGGCATTTGTATGATGTAGCTCCTTGGCTCATCGCACTTCTGTATGATGGTGGCTGGGTACCAAGTCCCTCTTTCCTTGTTTAGGACTCACACTCTGTCCAGGACTGAGTGGAGGTAGTTCCCTGCCGCTGCTGCGGTCATGATGCTCCTGTCTGCTGTTTTTTGCTCCAGGTGGAGGCAGTGTTCCTCCTTTCCTAGGTCTCCTTGACCCTGCAGCAGGGTGGTGACTGGCCTTCCAAAGATTAGTTCTGCAGGTGATGGTAGTTTACTGTCGATGGGTTTTGCTCTGACCTGTAGTAAAGCCATGTGTATGTCACCTCCTTGTTTCAGGGTTTTCTTCATGATGGATTTAATGTGTCGCACATGCCTCTCAATGAATCTGTTGCTCTTTGGGTAGTGGGGTGAGCTTGTCACATGCCTGATTCCCCAGTCCGCTGTGAACTTTTGGAACGCTTGCCCTGTGTACTGGGGTCCATTGTCCGTAAGTATCTCATCAGGCTGTCCGAAAAGAGACACGTACATTTGCATTTTTTGTGCAACTGCCTGGCTAGACACAGGCATGGGCATTTCATCCAATACAGGGAACTTGGAGTATCTGTCCACAGTCAGTAAGTACTGATGTCCATTAATCTCAAATAGATCAGAAGCTAGAGACTGCCATGGTTTTGATGGTGTGATGTGTGGGTTGAGAGGTTCTTTTCGATTTTCATCCTGATGTTCCACACGTGCTACATGACCTGCAGACTCTTTCGATGTCGTCGTTCATTCTGATCCAGTAGACACTTTCTCTCGCTAGTCGCCGTGTTTTCTCAATGCCTTGGTGTCCTACATGTAGCTGTTCCAGTATAGAGTCGGTCATGGAGTCCGGGATAAGCACCTGTCTGCCTTTGAATATGACTCCTGCTTCAATTGCAAGCTCATCTCTGAATGACCAATATGCACGCAGTTGTCTTGGCAGAACTTTGATGTTGTCTGGCCATCCCTGGTGGATCAGCTCTTTCAGTGCATTGAGTTTGGGATTGATGGTGGTTTCTGTGCGGAGAGTGTCCTGTTTCTCGTGAGAGAAGTTTATGACAGTAACAGTGTGCATCTTTGGATCCTCGATTTCTGTCTATTTTGTCGATGTGCTCATCCAGCTCGATGTTGCTGTTGTTCTCAGGATTCGGTAATCGACTGAGAGTGTCTGCCAGGACCATATGGGTTCCTGGTCGATACATGACCTCGTAGTTGTATCCTTGTGTTTTTAGCAGCATGCACTGTAGCTGTGGTGGCGCGTGTAGTGGCTTTGTGCATATGGTCACAAGTGGTTTGTGGTCTGTTACCACAGTAAATTACTTCCCATACAGGTAGGTATGGTATCGCTGCATCCCATAGACTATGGCAAGCATTTCACGCTCTATGTTGTTGTACCTGGATTGGCAGTCATCCAGTGTCTTTGAGCCAAAGGCTATAGGTCTGTTGTTCTGCACCAAAGCCACGACCAGTCCCTTCTGTGACACGTCCACCTCCAGTGTCAGGGGTGTGCTTGGATCATAGTATTTTAGACAGTCATGTTCAGTGATTATTGATTTCAGGTCCTCAAAGCTCTTTTGATGGTCAGAGTCCCACGTCCAAGGCACGTCACTTTTCAGCAACGCCCTCAGCGTGTGTGCTTTGTCTGCGAACTTTGGGATGTAGGGTGACAGATAGGTTAGCAGCCCCAGGAATCTGCTCAGCTCATCTTTGTTTTGGGATGTCGGCATTTTTTGGATGACCCTGATTTTAGCTGGGTCTGGTTTGATGCCTTTGTCTGTGTACAGGTTGCCAAAGAATGAGATTCTTGTATGTTTTATTGTGCACTTTTCACTGTTGAACACAATACATGTCTTTGCTGCTCTCTCCATCTGAAACGGGTGTGGTATGGACCCAAATGCAGTACACAGGCGCTCAGGAACAGTTGGTAATGACCTTTATTTTCACCACAGCAAACAAGGTACGGAGCAGATAGAATAAACACAGAATAAAGTTCGTTCTTCGGGCTGAAAGCCCTCACAGTCTCTGGGGCTCAGACGAGGGGAAGAGACGCGGCCAGAGTCGGCCGTGGAACCGAGGGGAAGCTCCTTAGCCCCCGGCTCCAAACAGTTCAGTTCTCTTTTGGTGTGAAGGGGAAGAGAAGTAGCTTACTTCAGCCGATGACGACGAGGAGGAAGCTCCGTGGCCCGAAGAGCCGGCTGCACGTGCGGAGGTGTCGACGGGGAGAGAGCAGAGGAGTGGTCGGAGGCAGGCGGGGGGGGTCGTAGCCAGATGAGCAGTCCGCGAAGGCAGAGGCACCGATGGGTAGCAGGCAGGAGGATAGACGAGGCCAGGCGGAGGAGTCGTTACCAGCCAAGCAGTCAGATACCAGAAACGCTGAGGCAGAGCACGAGGTCAGGGACAGAAGGCAGGTGAGTTTACCAGGAGGCAGACGAGGAGAGCAGGTCGGGAACAGGCAGAGTCGGCACCAGGAGATCAGACAGGAGATGAATGCTGGAAAGTCTCGCATGACGCTGAAGAACAATCTGGCAACGAGTGAGAGTGCTGGAGAGGCTTATATGCAGGGCTGATTATGATGAGCTGCAGCTGTGTAGGCAGGTGAGCAGAGTTGGGCTGATAAGGTGGGCGTGGCTGGCAGGTAGAGTGGAGCAGAGGGAGGGAGAGTGGAAAATAACTGCAGCAGAGTGACAGGAGGGGAATGAGAGACAGGGACTGTGACACCATCAGGTTGATCAGGTTCCTGTCCTATTCCTCTTCACTGGCTCCATAGATTGTAGTATCATCGGCTATGCTGACAACACCGTCGAGCCCCCCCAGGATTTGGTCCATCTTGGCCTGGAAGAGATCTTGGGAGACACTTAGTCCAGCAGACGTTTCCAGCAGTACCTGCCAAATGGAGTTCGGAATGTTGATAACAGTTGTGACTCCTCATCGAGGTGTATTGACCAGTATCCAGCTTTTGCATCTAGTTTGCTGAATATTTTTGCATTTGCAAACTTTGGGTTCAGTTCCTCCACAGTTAGAATTTTGTGTGGGCACCTCTTAAGGCTGGCGTTTAGCTTTTGGGGATCTAGGCATATACGAAGGGAACAGTCTTTCTTTGTACTTAATGCTAGACTTGAGCACCAATCTGTGTGCTGTTCTACTTTCCTTAACAC